TAGATTCAGTGAGAACATGGAGCTTTGCTTATTATAAGTAACAAGAATTCGTTGAACACATTTGCAAACGTAAACCTCCCTCACTCATAAATGCAGAAAAGAAGAAAACTAACAGTTCCACAATAAGATGAAAACTCAATAGTTTGGTGTAAAAACTGCCCATACCTCCATAGGTTCAGGTTCGGGTTCTTTCGCTTCCGTTTTATGCTCTGCCTCAGCACCTCCTTTTTCGGGAGACTTCTTGGGTGGGATCTTAGCTCCCAATCTGAAACAATTTGAAAATGACTAATTTTTGCCCCGTGTGTCTACTCACTCTTCCAAAAAATCACGGAAGAAGTCCAGCGACGATTCGTGGAGGAGATCCGGATTAGCCTTAATGGCGCTGACGAATTGCTTCAGCAGCAAGAGATGATGTTGCTCCATCACTAAAGTCATTTTTTCGAATGGGTAAAGCAAATATGGTTTAAAACGAGCAGTACAAAGGAGCTCTGCGCAAAAATACATATTTTCACAATATAAGCAGAAGCATGACTCGATAGGAGCAGTTTATCTCGATACATAAGAAAGAATATCTATATGATGTTTGTATGTATACATGTATGTATTTATGCGGGTATCTAAGTTCCTAATACAAATTTTATATGCGAATTGATAAGGAGATCCAAACTTTGCATACATACACTTATGGACCGAGAGAGTAACGTAGGCTACTTTATATCTTAGTTTGTACTCTGTTTTTGCGACATCAGTTCAATTTGTTGAAAACAGAATAAAGTCATTTCCCGCCATTAGATCATAGATACGACCGTGTAAGCACATTATAATTTGAGTAAGAATATGTCAAAGCAGAATTTGTTCATATATCAGCAGCAGGGGAAAAGCAACCAGATTGTGCGCATTGATATTATATTCCACAACTAGCTGACATACCCGGCTTTGCTCAGCTTTTGCGTCTGACTAATCTACCTCATCCAATTCGGCGTAAACTGCTCACATTTGT